AGAGATATTTGTGTTATTCATTAGAAGTCACCACTAAAATAGACAAACAAAGAGCTCTCAAGGTAAAGCCCGAAATGCCTAACGTTAGGTATTTCACTCTAAGAGCTGCAAAAACAAAAGGTCTTTTTACTGATATTCGTTATACTCAGTAATAGGGAAAGTTTACTATTAGATCCCAGGTAATCCAAATTAGCAAGAACTATGGCGCCGATCTCGCCTTACAGCGAACGACACTGCCAACTGAAGGCACTATTGAATAACTACAACGATGATTCTTTCAATCCAATGAGTCAACAGATCAGATATCTCAGATCGCTTCGTAACATATTGGCTTAGGAGAGCGAAATAATGAGAGGCCTATGTGAGCATTACAACTTACAGAATTATCAAAAACGAACTAAAAAGATAAAGCAAAGGGCCGCTTAACGTCCATCTTTTCGGAGTCACGGTTCTTCCTTAAGGAGAGAACCAGAAACCCGGTGATTACGTGTGTTGTGCAATACAGAAGTAGCTACCTATACAGTAAAGCCACACCGGTGAAGGTAATGACCACAGCGCGTAGAGGCACATACAAACATGATGGCTGGTGCAAAATCGGCCTGTGGTGATAACATCGCTGATACCTCTGGAGACCGCAAACTGGCGCCGAGGTGTCTAAGAAAAGCTTTCATTTGTGCACAAAGGTCGACACCCACTTTTGTTCAAAAGATCTTAAGCAGAGCTAACGAAGGGAACGATCAAATCAGAAAGAAGTTGAAGCCGAATGGCGGATGAAAAGTAGTTTTAAGGAGATTTCAGTTGACAATCAATGAAGTTTTCACCTCGTTCTCTTTGAAATTCGGATTGTAACATCGCCCTTTAACTGTGTGAATCTCAACAAGACAAAAACTTAAAACATAGTTTACTAATGAATTCTCAGTATAGCAATCGAATACGATTGCTACCGCTTGAAATTTGTGATTCACTTTTGTACGAGCAATTAACGAACTGGATTACAGAGTACAGCGCGGTGGCCAAAGATGACCCTGCGGTGCACATAGTCATCGGTCAGATCCTACGCAAGGGCAAACCAATAGCTTCCCATCCGCCGAGGATCGGCAAATTGCTACGAGGCAGGGATTGAAACCTGATTTAATACTTAAGTAGACCCTCGAACGTCATTGTGTAGGCCAATTGTCGGTGAAATCACCTCAACGACACTATGAATGCCTTTATCCTTTTTTAGGTTATCATTCCGACGTTGTTAATTTTCTCTTTGAAGAGGTATTGAAAAAATATCTAGGAACTATAGGAAAAATATCTAGGAAAAAAAGGAATAACAGTCGTCAACCACATGCGACTATAATCAGTTGTTCTAAACTTCTTCATTGGAAGTCACGAAAAAAGCGGCTCTGAAGAAGGCGATACTGCCGAAACGTCAGCTAGCGTTGTATTGTATTGTGTTTTTTTATGGAAGTAAATGTATGCTGTTTAAAAACCTCGCGATTGCTGAACAAGAAAACGACGCATTCATATCTAGGAACTACGTAGTTATCTAGTTGTTACAAACAAGTTGCAGACCACACTACGTAAATCACTGCTAATACTTTTCTCCGTCTTACCATTATTTTCCTCTTTTCATTTTTTTCCTTCCTCCCTTACTTTGTTTCGTTTCTTTTCCTTTTCTGCCCTTCTTTTCATCTTTTTCCCTTCTTCTTCCTAACATTTCTTCTTCTTTGCTTCTTTCTTCTCTCCTTCTTTCTCTTTCCCACTTTTCTTTTCTTTTTTCCTTCCTTTATCTCATTCTTTTCTTTCTTTCTTCTTTCCTTCCTTCTTTTCTTTTTCATTCGTTCTTTCGTCCTAACTACATGTATAGTAAATGATAGTGAATAACTCATGGTAAAGACGATTTTTCAAGCCCTCTCCTTGTTTGTTTACTTAATTATTTCATTACTTATTTATTCACTAGGCATTTATGAAAGTAGTGTAATAGTTTTTCTCACAAAGAGTTTTTTCAACAAATTCGTCATCTACATCGTTTCTGCGCTGGTCATTTTGAGTTGTAACCAGAAACGTCACCACACCTAATAAATAAGCCGACAAAAAAAAACAAAGGAGAGATGTGGACGATTCTTCTTATAAAAAATGTGTAATTACCGGAATCGATCGATGATCATAACTGCGGCAATCGATCGATGGTCACGAGTTTCCGCGGTAGCCTGTGCTGTTGTAATCTGTTTGTTTGCTATCGCATAGAATGAAGAAACGAGAATGCCAAACAATGCGCTGCTGGCATCGACACCTGCGATAAAAATCTACACACCGATTTTCCTGTGTGTGTGTGTGTGTTTTTGTTCACCGCTTGAAGAAAAAAAACTACTTCAACCCATTTATTAAAATGACTGGCATCAAGTAAGTCCAAGCTTATGTATTTAGCAGGTTAGCTTTTTTTCTTTTTATTTATTTTCACATTTTTTGGCTACACTTATCGTGGGGATCCCAGCACCCTTTCCATTCGATTCATTTCCTTGAATTCGCGTAATCTACGAAGGCCTTCGAAATTGCGTTGGGGTTCCCCTTCTGCTTGAAGATTTCCTTCTTCTCCATGGATGTCCTTGAATAGTGGTCTCGCGATGGAAGCCGTACTGGGTGATCCCAAATCTTCACCAAAAACTGCCGTCAGTCTTTATAGAACCAACGTCTTTGCGAGTATTACCGAGTCAAAAATGACTGTCGTAGAAATGAAGAGATCGCTGACATAGTTTACTTCCTTCTCATTTTACAGTTTTTCCTTTCAATAGTTGAAGCACTTGGTAACAGTCCTTCTCGAAATTTTTTTTTATAGATTGGATTTAAAAAAAGATCGTCGTGTGCTGTTGACGCCTATAGGAGATGTAGCCGAATCAAGTGAAGACGATCATTTAATGTAGAGCTTTGAAGATTGTTCTCAACACTTTTTTACTCCTTTGTTATTTTATTTCTTTTTGCTTTTATCCACGATTTAAGGAATCGAACGTTTCTTCGTGTTCTGATCGTTATTCTCTTTATTGTCTCCACGACGGCTTATAAGATACTTCTGTGAGTTTTGCAGAAAAACCCATTTAAAGCAGGTTTAGATGTACTGGATAAATAAATTAGTGAAAAGCAACTTAGAGATCCACCACCATCACATCTTTCAAATAGACCGCCGCGTCCTCGTATGCATGAGAGTGGTCACATCTCCTTCGAGGATACCATGGAGTATACGGATCGCTTTATTGAGTTTATGAAGAAGTATGAACTATTAGAAGGGTTGTTTCCACACTTTGTTTTTTTATTTCTTTTTTAACGGAATTATTACTTGATGAACTGCACATAGTTTTGACTTACCTGCTATATTCAGATGAAGATGTTTTGCTCGTGTCTTCTAAACCATCGTGCTCCAAGATTTATCATTTTTATCGAGCGGTGGTTGCAAAACACTTAAGTCATCTAGAACAATAGCTATTTAGCAAGTTACCTTCAAATAACATTTCGAAGTGCTCCTTCAGGCGAGGGATAAAGAGCTGATTAATCAAGTGCCGACGCTTTGCGTCTCCAGGTCACGATTGATTAGAAGAGATAACTTCCTGGACATTGTGCTAGACCGTATTGACTTATATTTTTGTATTAACGTAACTGTACTCATACAAAGGGCAGATGTTCGTTAGAGATGCACACAATACACGAATATTCATTGTTTCGAGGAGAGTATTAACCAACCATACACCTAATTCTTCCCTGTTAAAGTTGGTACCTGATTTATTTGAGATTACTCGACTAGTCCATTTTCTTGAATTTTTGCACTGTTGATGTTTTCAGTCCATCACTTGCTAAATAACTGTCTCTTATGAAACTTCAGGAAATTTTTCTTGTTCTTTCAGTGATTAATGTGTTTAGTTACGACAAGGAATACACGAACAGCACAGAAATGTTGAGGCGTTTCAAAACCTATGAGAAACACATGAATGAAATCACCGATTTGAATAGGTGAGCCGTCATTTGCGAATCATAAGTGCGAATCATTTGCGTCATGTTGGTTAGTGGAGCTATACGCACGCGGTTGTTGCTTCGATCTCATGCCATGAGCAAGGCAATTCCCTCATGCTCTTGGTTTGGCGTTTTGGCTTCGGAATCATCTGCAAGTATAGAAGCTACTGATTTGATATGTTTTTTGTTAGGCCTTCTAGAGCCATTGAATAGACCTAACATGCACTCAGCCACCTGAGCGTTATTACGAATGAAGTCCAACGCATGTCGTATCCCTAAGAGATTGCTCGATATCAAATACTTTATCCCTATTCTTTTTTTATCGTATAGTGTTATAGATAAATGTTTTATAAGGCTAAGGTTTCTAGTTGTATTTAGTTAAAATTTTGCAAAGGTCTTGCAGAAAGAAAGCCGTCAGATAGTGGTCATGTAGAGCATCCGCACTGAATTCGTGCTCTAGATGAATCGTATTTAAATTCTTGAATAAGGGATTGCAATCACGATGAATAGTCAATCCATCTAAATTTCACGTAGTACTGCAACTATTAAGAACTCGAGCAAAACATTTGAAAATATCGTATTCGCTGTACATAGTGTGAATACGAAAGAATCTTTCAGAAATTCCGCTAATGGTGTCTCCTACGGAGAGAACGAAATGAGTGATTGGACTGACGAAGAATTCCAGAAGGTCTATATGACTTCAGTGCTTCTTAGTTTTTTAATTTTTTTGTTTTCGTTTGTTTGTTTTGTTACTAGATTTTTATTTATTTACTGTGTATTTTGTTTGTTCACTGTATTTTTTATATTTCTTATTAATCTATTTATTTTTATAAATCACGCGCTCTTAATACTTATTATGGAGCTGGGTATTTACTCTGAGCGTCTTCTACATACTTTCCAAAAGAAGATCGATTTTCATGTGGTTACGATGTGGCATACTTTATGTTTTGTAATGCGCTTTTAAATGTACGACGAAATTTATTTTAATAACCACAACAACGCTGAGATATTTGCAAAACTCCATGTGTATTTGCACGGTGTGGTGATGAACGCATCAGCCGCCGGAAAGGGTAACATCGCATTCGTTCCCCACCGCAGACACTTGCGGTCCGGAATTTTCGCAAATATCTCAACATCATTGTAGTTGTTCCACAAATAATGTCCTACCGTGAAAACTTGTAAAAGACAGTGAATAAAAAAGTCAATACAACCACAATGCTGCTGAGATATTTGCAAAACTCCGAACCACAGGTGCCTGCGGTGAGGAACGAACGCGATATTGTCATTTCCGGAAAGTAACGCGTTCACCACCACACCATGCGAGTCCTTCGTTTCGTTTGTCTCTCAGCTAGTTCTATCGATCTTTTGCCGTCAGCAATCACCCGTCAACGGGATTGATCTGGGGAGCCTACATCGGCATTGAACCCAGTTAAGCTGAGGCTATAGTTGAAATCACAATTTTTAGTTTTTTTATTTTCTGCCCACTATAATTTTCACAGTAGGGTGATTGCTGAAGGCGCTGATCGATAGAACTAGCTGAGAGAGAGGCGAAACGAAGGACCCGCATGGTGTGCTGGTGAACGCGTTACTCCCCGGAAAGGACAATTACGCGTTCGTTCCCCACCGCAGACACCTGAGGTCCAGACTTTTGCAAATATCTCAGCAACATTGTGATTGTGTTTCGCTCAGTATCTTGCCGTGAAAATTATAGTAGGCAGAAAATTAAAAAAAAACTGAAAAAGTCAATGTTTTTAATTTAATACTTTGAAGGAAAGCAGTAGCTGTTCTCAACAATACGAATTGCACCATATATCTTGAAGTATATCTTATCGCTCTATCTCTTAGTCTCTTCTACCGAAGTCTTTCTATAAAAGACTTCGAAAAGATGCTAAATTTATTCGAACTGATGCACCTAAAGCAAAAGAGCGCGCCATGCCGGCTCCAGATTTTTTCGACTGGCGAGCAAGGAAAGTCATCTCGCCTGTGAAGGCACAAGGTAGGCAAATTTGGTAGAGTGCAACCAAAAGCATAATAAGCGCCTTCTATTGCCGATAGTCAACATATCAAACTTTTATATGTACGTTTATAGATCGATACTTCCAGGTAAATGTGGCTCATGTTGGGCATTTGCTGCTACAGCCACCGTGGAAGCGGCATGGGCCATCGCTCATGGTGAGATGCGTAATCTTTCTGAGCAAACGCTGCTTGACTGTGATCTTGAAGATAATGCGTGTGACGGTGGTGATGAGGACAAGGCATTTCGGTTTGTTTTCAGAACGATTCTATATTTTCGCGACATTGCTTGTATTCGGTGGCTTCAGCTATGATTCTTACGTGAATCATGCTGGCCATATTGATCGCCTGGGTACGATTTATAAATACACTCTACATTAGCAACACTTTGTGCCCCTCCCTGTGGATGCGGAAAGCAACCAATCGCTGTGGGAATCATGTGGCACACCGTCGATTTTAGTGTTGTCCTCACACACGTACTCTCGCCGTCTTGTCCAAAGAATAGCGAACCAGTTTTTGCAACCAAAACAATTTTATTCATGGTCTCGTAGTTTGGTGTCGTTTTGAGCAACTTTTGATAACTCCTGACTTCTAAGTCATACTAAATTCAATTCCGAACTCGTTGCTTCTTCAAACAACTTATTTAGATTACTCAATTTTCTCTATTTCAGCCTTCTTTTATGTACTTAATATAATAAGTCAGGAACTTAGGAGTCGTCTCAGCACCTAAGCTAACACTAGAAATTTCCAATGATTGAGGTACAATGCGCTATGAATGAAATTTTTGAAGACTGCAACGTCAGGAACGCCTTTAGTGGCAGCAACAAACATTTTTAAAAAGGCAAATACTTACGTGGAATCTTGGATGACCCACTTTTACAAGTGGCCAGATCACCTCTTTCATTCTTTCTTTTCTGCACGCTTGTCGTCCATAGTGGTGGTCTGCACAGAGCGTAACTCCGCCTCGCTTGTTCCATATATCGTTTCCAATTACGCTTGGAAGAAAAACCGAGCATAAAAAGAATTGTGGTAAATTATACTAGCATGAACTCTCAACACTCCATCACTTTTTGAACTTCTTCGGTCTTATAATTTCGCAAAGTCACCGAAATTAATCTTATTCTTACGTTGTAACTTACTCGAATACTTGGAAGCTTGGATGGCCCGTCCTCGCTAGTTGTGGGGGCCCCAGCAAAGTTTCCATTCTTTTGGAATTTTGCTGGCTTAGCTACCGTAGTTTCTAGGAGTCCCGAGGTCTGCCTAGCCAAAGTATTTCCCCAGTTCGTCACCACGACAGGCAGTCGCAGCCCTTGTGGATCAGAGGAAGATTTGCCATCATGCGACTTTGATACCAGGACGATGGTGGATCTTGGTATTGGTTTAGCCTTAGTTAGGCTTCCTGATGGAAATGCCGGACTCCTTCTCAGTTTTAGAGGCTCTACTAGCTGGGTCATGAATCCACCGCTGTGAGTCGCAGCCCGACACCCAGGAACACCTCCCAGCCACTGTAAGGCGGGAAACCGTTGGGAGGTGCACTGAAACAGCTTTTTATGAAATATAGAAGTCTCAAAAACAACTTCATAATTAAATATCTAAAAACTTCCTAATTCTAATTTTCACAGAAGAGATTATTTATTAAATAACTCAATGATATGTGTTATCGACAGCCGCGTGAATCGCACTGACTAGAGGTGCTTTAGAATACGAACTAGATCAGGTGCTGTTTCGATCCCGGCGGCGCCAGCTAACCAAAACTTGCCATTCATTCTGGGTTTGCACCATACTTTTCTTAGGAAAATAGAAACCCGTGTGAATATCTTAAAGATTTTAATGTTGCTGAGATATTTGCAAAACTCCCGACCGCAAGTGTCCGTGGTAAGGAACGAACCCTTTGAGGGAGTAACGCTTTCACCACCACATCATGTGGGTCCTTCGTTTCGTCTGTCTCTCAGCTAGTTCTATTCATCATCATCAGCAATCACCCATCAGCGAGATTGCTGTAGGGAGCCCAAATCGGCAATGAACCCAGTTAAGCTGAGTCTGTAGTTATCATCAAAATTTTAACTTATTACTTGCCTCCTACTGCTTTTAATGGAAGGGTATGTTGCGAAAAATTCTTCAAGATTGTTTAGCTCACACGAGACACTTTTCTTATCGAAGACGAGGACATCGAAACTCTAGCCCAATGATACAGATCTCGCGTACTTGAACAATCTGAAAAGATATTGATTATTAATCCCAAGGTTAAACAATGATCATTTTAGGAAAGTATTGACTCGAATCAAATGTAACTCATTATATAGGTCAAATGTATGTACTCAGTAGCCTCCACGATGCTGCGAATGGAGTTGAATGCATAGAGTATCTCTAAGGCATTGATGAACGTCGAAAATTTTGTCTCTTTATCCTTTAAGTGACGATTTTTTGTTGGTTTTGCGCATTCCCAACAGCGTGTTTAGCTACATACATCGAAATGGCCTTGCTTATGCTGACCATTTACCGTATGTTGCTCGTCGTCAGAATACATGTGAAGTGGATGGAAATACAACGAAAATTGATGTGAGATCTGCCTAAATTCAAAGCGTTTCTTTTTTCATTTTTGCCATCTTAAAACCATAAGCTGCGGTATCCCTCGTTCTACTTTTAGGTCGCCTATTTCCTTCATCCTGACGAGCAATCGATAATCGATTGGCTGCTTGGCTTCGGGCCTGTCAATATCGGTATCTCTGTCACGAAGGACATGCGTGCCTATAAAGGCGGAGTATTTACACCGAGTGCATACGACTGTAAAAATAATGTAAGCAAAATTTGTAACGAAAGTAGGACAAAAAATAATGAACACAAAAAATTATCTGAGGCAGCTAGATACTTACATAGCCTGCCCATACCCAACGTATCATCATCAACACTTCTTGAAAAATGATAGTCATTATTTGCTGAAGAAGATAACAACACATTTTTAATAAAATTTCTGTTTATTTCGTAATATTCAATGGCCATCCATGAAGGTATTTTCATTCGTGTGTAGCTCTTGTTGCAGTTGAGGGTTTGTTGCTTTCTATAAACCACCCTAGAACGTCCTCAGTTTTTTACCAAGCAATTTCGTAGCTCTTATGAACTGGAAACGACCGGAGTGATTTCCGCCGCGGTAGAGATTCCTACAATTAGTCTATTGAGAACGGCTTAACTGCTGAAATTTCTCGATTTCGACTACAGTTCAAGCACTGCTCGTCTTCTTCGAATGCAGGATACTTTTAAAATTCGATGGACATAAGGTATGAAGTGGTTCTTCAACTTAATAAAGTGCTGGGCTAAACATAAACTTTATGGGAGTGATTATTGGTGTCAGTGCTATTGAGCGATTGAGCGATCGCTTAATCGTTTTTAGGCTGATGTTAATCTAAATCAACGTCAGCATGTCCACAATAACATACTCTGCGCCGCCATTATATCGTAATCGACCTTCAAATATCATGACCTTTTTGTTTGCTTTGCTTCTCATATCCGATTTCCGTCTATTAGTTTGCTCCGTCATTTCTATTGTAGTTGATGTTGTTGTTGTCGGCCTCATTGAATAGTCGGATCTCGATGCGTCGCCCATTGATGTTCATCGACGTGGTTAGTCTAGGTCGACATCGTTACTCTCATCACTTGCATTTCCACCTGATATTGAAGGCAACACCCGGCCTTTGTGTTGGTGGGAGAGGATGGCTTTGTATTCAACTGCTGATAGCACTTACAGTCACTGTGTGGTTAATCGACTTTTCAACATCGGGAAAATTTACCATTACAATACCTCCACCAACGTCAGTGTCCTAAACAGTACCTAATTCATCAGTTATTCTTAATGAACTTTTTTAATGTATACATATACATATTGGTTATGACTGTTTTTGTTCCATTGAAGTGATATTTTTAGGTGATCGGCTAAAATTTGTTTCCCATCACTAGTTACGGTAGCTGAAATGGAATTTTTAGGTGATCGGCCTGCATGCACTGCTGATAACTGGTTACGGTACAAGTAAAACAGGTGAAAAGTATTGGATTGTAAAAAATAGCTGGGGTAACACATGGGGAGTTGAGAATGGTTACGTTTATTTCGCTCGTGGTATCAACGCATGTGGTATTGAGGACGAACCGATAGGAATTTTAGCGTAGAGCACATTTAGTTGGTTTGATTTAGCAATATTTATAAAGGTCACTTAGGAACAGAGATTTAGGAAACATTTGATTCTAAGTTTGAAATCGTTTTTGTTACAACCGCCTTTGTTTTCTAATTGAACTTCTATTGTTATCGTTATGTATGAAATAGAGAGTTTACAAACTGATTTTTTATACTGATGACCGCCATTTTTTATACCTTTGCACGGCGTTTAAAGTCCTATAAAGTCGTTTGATCTTGAAATTAGATTTTATTTTCAACTGCCGAGGTAGATTTTCAGCATGTGGTGACAGATCTAAGCCGAAATCAAGATTTCATACATGGATCCTTCATATGTTATCGTCTCTGCGATATTAGCATATTCTGGCACGTATATAGGCAATTGCAAGCCATTGCATAGACTAAGTATTCACTCAGTCATCGGTGCTATGAATGAAGACTAATGGATGGTGCATCTCCACCTCCGCAAAGGACTGATCAGCGCGGAACGTCTTGCACGTTATCTTTTGTATGCATTCATAATGCTGTTAATACTAGTTTGTAGTTGGAAAAAACTATACACGAGCTGCTGAGGTTGAATGCTTTATTCATATGGAAGTCAACGATCATGCCAAGCAGAAACCACATGATTCAGGACAAATTCTTTTTCTCATTTTGTCGCTATATATGGATGCTGTGCAGAGTCTAATTTTCAGAAATGTTTTGCACCTGAAACGATATTAACCAACGCAGGTTAATAAAAGAATTCCTGTCATACTAGCACATACACCGAAGTATCCTTGCATTCAAATTTTGGGTCAGTAGTAGCTGTAATAGGACGCTTACATTTAATGAAATGTAAAATGAGTTATAAAACCGAGACTGGCGTTATTTTAAAAATAACCATTACCGATTCGATATCTTGTGATAGTTGTTCTCTTACTGGTAGCAGTGTAGGTGATCACAGGTGCGACATTGCTTGTGGAGTTTAATCTTACTTCTTCACTTGCACGATTACAGAATCTAAACACTTTTACGCGTTGATACAATGATAGGCCAAATTAGCGAATACTTCTACCTGTAGCCGGTTCTGCGCGTGTCGTTTCCAGTTTTGATTTCAACCCCGGCATCTCGACAGCCTTCATCGGAATTCACGTTACTGCTATACCGATCAAGTACCACCTCAATATTATACCTTTTTATTTTCTGCCTACTATAATTTCGCGGCAGGGTACTAAGCGAAATACAACCACAACGTTGCTGAGATATTTGCAAAACTCTGGACCGCAGGTGTCTATGGTGGGGAACGAACGCACTATTGTCCTTTCCGGAGAGTAGCGCGTTCACCACCACACCATGCGGGTTCTTTGTTTCACCTGTCTCTCAGCTATTTCCATCGATCTTTGCCACAGCAATCACCCGTCAGCAGGATTGATCTGAGGCTCCCAAATCGGCATAGAGCCCAGTTAAGCTGCGGCTGTAGTTGAAATCACAATGTTATATCTTTCTATTTTCTGCCTACTATAATTTCGCGGCAGGGTACTAAGCGAAATGCAACCACAACGTTGGTGAGATGTTGCAGTGGAGTAACGCTTTAGGTCTCTCTCAGCACTAATTGGAGGTGGTGCATATTCTACCTATTCTTGAATGAAAAACTGTGTGTTTGACGAAAACTTCGAAATATAAAAAACCTTCTAAGAAATTGAAAAGATCGTAATCTTTCGGCCGGCTGCTCTTCTTTAATCTGACTCTCGTGAGATAGTAGGATTTCGCCTTGGATATTATCCTATAGTATTTGAAATTTTGGTCTTATCTAATGGCAGGAACTTTTTTCAACTTAAGGCTTTTAATGCTTAATTTAAGGCTTGCCTAATCTCAACTTTTCGCGCGGAGGGTGAGGTGAGCGGAGGCATTTAATGAAGTGGTGGAACTACATGTGTGCCAAACCGTATTTCAGAATCACCGTAAACAGCGGTACTGTGGTCACAAAATCAGCAAAACGGCTTATGTTCTTATTTTGTTTTCCTTCTCTAAATTTTCAGATTTTGGCATCAGTCTCACGGTCTCCACTACGGCACTGAAGTCTACATCAATTAATTTATAGAAGAACATTTGATTGGGAATTATTTCCTCTAATATCTTGTCTATGAGAGGTGATCCATGAAGCTTCACAACGCCCAATTAACACGTTGAGTGTGCTCAGCAACGTCTTTACAAAGTTTATCCTGTCTTCTTTATCAAGGGCTTAGAATGAGACACAAACAATTGATCAAGATTCCACAAGGATTCTTCTGCTGGGACCACAATGGTGCCCTGTGTCTTAGCTACCTTTTGACAGCATTACTTATCCTTGTCCTAACTTCTACGACTATAGAAAAGCAATGCTTATACGAACTCAACAAATGCAATATAAATGCCGCTAGCCGACCTAAGAGTAGACTCATCCTAGATAAAAGTATTAACTAAACATCCTAAATAAAAATATTAGCCAGATGTTATCTCAATGGTACAACGAAAAACACAGCTTTCCATATGTTCCATAGCATTCTCACAGGGAACGGAGTTTGGTGAGGCATCAGAAATTCGTCGGAGCTGTTTACAGCACCATACAGCAGCATTACAGTGGGTAATGTACTCATCGAATCGAACAAGATTCCTTCTCTAAATTTTCTACGTCAATTTTCTAACAAGTCCTCACTTTACTGGCAACATCGCTATCTCTTCAAAAAGCACCAACTAAGCAGAAGCAATCGTCAATGGGATCAACGAAGTGAGAACGAGATATTTCACATAAATCGAAAGAAAGCCCACTTTGTGAGAAATTCATGGTGATAAGCTCCGACTGGAAGATTTCCTAATAGCACAGACAACTTTGTGCATGTACCTCTGATATTTAGTAAACATAGAGAACAGCATGAAGAAGGAATCAAACAGAGAAAAGAGAGCAGCATGGCCTAGGTACACAAACTTCTCAGAGAAGCCACCGCTCATCTAAGGTACCTAAAACTCTAGGCTCAGCTCTTCTACTTAGTGGGTTTTCAAAATTCTGTTATACAGAACCAATGTGGGATGATACTTCACCCACGTGAAGAATTCTGCACACGACCTAACGCTTGAAAGATGTCTTCTGAAATTTAACCATCACTAACAACGACTAAGCGGAATGCGAAGCGTAGATCTTTAAAAGCTTTTATAAGAAGGAGGAGAATGCACATCATTAGCAAGACATCAATGAGTCGCTAGTATAATAAGAAGAAAGGTTAATGAAGGAAGATGCGAGCTATAGAATAGTCTGCAAGAAAATGCACTCGCCCTCTGCGACGACCACCGACATGTGGGTGGACGTGTTCATAGCAAGAACGACCAAACGAATGACAACAGCAAACACTTTATGGGTTGCTGAGTTAAGCTAGAACACATTTACAAGTTAAGCCTATCCACCGTTGTAGAGAGCAAAGCAAAGAAACGGTGTAAAAATTTGCAGGAAGTCCGAAGACTTGTGGTGACGGGTGGCAAATATATTTAAGTAAGTAATGTTACTTCACCACGGATCTCCCTCATGCGAGAGATCTCGAGCTGGCTGGTAGCGAGGCTACGTGGTGCGTGCTCAGGTGGCGGATAGGGAGTTAATCGCAGACCAAAAGCAACTTTTGCTTTCCTGAAACACGGGTGGATCCAGCTGATGGCCTATCTGTTTCTGTTGCGCTGATTTGGCACATACTTTCTGTATATGCTAAGCGTATTTATAAATGCATGTGTGGGTGCGTTCTTGCTTATGCGGATTGTAATCTACGAGTCAATTCGGCCAGAAGCCTGCAAACAAGTGACTAGGAAGTATATGGGAGGCGGTTAGGAGTCGGCTTCAAAAGATAAGCTCCATGTCCACTATGGAAGATCAACCCTCCCGTGAGTATACGCATCCCCACGTTCGGAGTCCAACAAGCTAGACGTGGGTATCAAAAATGCTAAACACAGTGAGAAAAAAACGAGCCTTATTCCCCTGGCTCCGAAAGAGCCCACAATTTCGCAGCATTGGGTAGGACGACTACCGAGAGGCTGCTAAAATCTCAGGACCATTGGAAGCTGCCTTGATTACAAAGAACTATGGTGACGATCTGTGCCTGCAATGCACGTACACTTGCAACCGAGCCCTCGATAGAAGACTTGCTCATGCAAGCAAGAAGGAAAAGGTAAAATGTGATCGGACCTGGTCGAGAAGACACGACGCCACCCATTCAACCCCGTCTATGACACCGGAGAAGAACTGTTCAACGGAACATACGACAGTAAAAGAGTCGGCGGCGTCGGCGTTCTCGTCAACACGAGCTTCTCCATGAACGTCGATTCATTCGAACAGCTTACAACCCCAATCGGACGTCTACGATTAAAAAGATGTGAATCAATACCCGCTTTGACAATTTTCGTCGTTTACGCGTCGGCATCAAACTATGACGAAGAAGAAGTAGAAGCATTTAATATGGGTTGGCTTGGAAAAGTTTTGCAGAGGAGGCTATACACTTTTTAAGATCACCATTGGAGATTTTACGCTAAGGTTGGACTGAGGAGAATGTCTGAAGGATGCACTTTGGAATCAAGGATTAGAACAAAACGAACAGGGTGAGCGGTTATCTGAGTTTATCATGGCGACCAACACCATACATGGTAACGTCCAATTCCAGAAGCCCCACTCTCAGCGCTGGACGTGGGAGTCTCCCAATGAAGAGTACAATAACGAAATAGACCACATCATAGTAAACGAAAGGATTTGCCTAACCGATATCGCTGTTGCACTAAAATTCTACGCGGGATCAGACCACCGTCTCCATCGTGCAAGATTCTATTTCTCGCAAAAAGGAGAAAAGCCACTAAATTCAAAAATAAAAGTTCCAGAACCACCGTAAAGTGGGATTGATTCAATTTATTAGTCGGCTGTTAGGAAGATGTCGTTGTCGATAACATCGACGAAGAGTGCGATCGGCTCATTCAACATCTTCACGTTAGCGCTATGGAAGCTGAGAGTTCGAAAGTCGCCAAGAGACGTCTGTCTCCAGAAACACTCGAGCTGAGACGCCAGCGTGGAATTGTACGAGCTGCAGGTAACCGTGAACTAACGTCTGAACTTGCAAAACAATGCAGAGAGGCGATAAAGAAGATCTTAAAGGGAGAAGAGCAGCAGTAATGGTCGAAGCTGCAGAGGATGGGAAAAGCATTCGCAAAACCCACCGAAGCTTCGCCAATTACAAGATCAAAATTGTTGCACTTCGGCGCCCAGACGGAACAGTTATAGCGTCCAGAAAGACAATGGAGAAAATCATTCACGAATGCTACTGAGATCTCCTCGATAGCCACGTCCAACTTTCGTCGTATGAAATAAAGGAAGTTGGATCATCTACAAACTTTTCACTCGAGTCATCCTAAACAGGATTGGCAGAACACTGGACGAAGGACAGCCATGTGAACAAGCAGAGCTTCGAAAAAGATTTAGTACCATAGGCCACAACCACACGATGACAAGACTCACTGAAGTATCGCGGGAGTACAAAAGATCGCTCTATCTCACTTTCATCGATTTACAGGTCTTTGATTCAATTGAAATTGGAGCAATCATTGAAGCCCTTGATAGTCAAGGGGCCCTACTCAGTACGTAAAAAATCTTCCTTAGCTCTACAAAAATTTTACAACCAAGATATCACAATTCTACAACAATATTAACGTTGACGTAAAAAGGAGAGTCAGGCAAGGCGATACTATCTCACCAAAATTATTTACCGCCACCCTCCAGAACGTCATGCGAACATTGGAATGGGATAATATGGGAGTGAAAATCGATGGTGGGCAGTTACATCACTTTCGCTTCGCTGATGACATCGTACTTATAACACCAAACATTTGCCAAGCGGAACGTATGCTTGACGACTTTGATAAGCCTGTGGAAAGATTGGTCTTCGACTGTATCTCACAGGAACGATGTTCATGAGGAACGGATTGGTTTCGCATGCCCCATTCACGCTTAACGGGGCGATTATCTCTAGATGCTCCAGTTATGTCTATCTAGGTCAGGAAATCAATATAATGAACGACCTAGCTCCAGAGCTGAGCAGAAGAAAGCAGCGGCTTGGAGAGCTTTCAAGAGCATCGAGGAAGTAGTGAAGTGGACAAAAACACCCAACTCCGTGCCCACCTTTTCGACTCAGCGGTACTTCCGGTCCTAACGTATGCGTCAGAAACCTGGTCGCTGCGTAAGCAAAATAAAAGATAACTCAGCGTTATCGAACGCGCAGTCGAAAGGACGATGCTAGGAGCATCCCGTTCCACACATGTAAGGGATGGGATCCGAAGCTCCGATCTGCGGCAACGATCAAAAATCAAAGATGCCGTTCTGTACGCGAAAGAGTCCAAGATAAGGTGGGCCGGACACGTAATGCGTATGAATGACAACCGATGGACAACAACCGTTAGTGACTGGGTTCCTCGGGATGTTAAACGTACTGCAGGAAGACCACCGACTCGATGGTCAGAGTTCTTCACAAAGAGCCTTGAAGAAGGATATGATGCTCGACGAGTCCCTAGAGCGAGCAGAACCCACTGAGTTTTATGAGTGTTACTTTATTTTCTAACAAAAAAAGCAAAAGCATAATTCGTGTCAACAATGTCTTCCAGGGTTTGGAACATAGTTCTCGCTAAAAATGTCTTACCGCATTCGTTTGGCTGAAATGAAGAATTTTTTGCACCTAGTTTACATGAAAAGAACTTAAACCATAATTCGCTTCTTACTTTCTCATTACAATATTTTCTACCGTATCCACTAGTATCCACTAGTATCCATATCCTTCACATATTCTAGGTTGAGAAAACCCTCCATTTTGACACTTAACCCAGTGCTGTTTCTTGCTTGGATGTGAAAAGAATTAATTTTCTCAGATACGAAGTTAGAGACAGATTTTGCAAAATTGAACGTTGATATAATATTCTTCGCCGCACCGCGACACCTGTAATGAAGTTTCATCATAAGAAATGTCGTAGAATGAAAAGATATGCGATCTCAGTGTTTCCGGATATTTTTCGTCGTTTGGTACCATAGTGTAATCACCGGTTCTCGGTTCACTGAATATCTTGAATAATCTTCAGTGGTATAGGACTTCATTGTTAAAAGTTTCGACAAACGTTGATGCATCATACTGCGTAACATTACCGTAGTCGTAGGTCAGGTTGTAGTTATAATTGAATTTGGCATATACGCTTCCGAATTGAGGCCACTGATTACGCTAAAATACCGTAAATTTCTTATCTTAAACTTATCGGCTTTGATTCAGATTTAAATAGATGTTCTTGAAGTAAACTGTAATGAAACTGTCGCGATCGTGTCTCATATGAGTATGGAAGGAACCTAAGGAATGGCCGAGTTCGTGCGTAGCGTCTCCACCCTAAAAAAATATCGTTCATGGATGGTACTTCAAAGAAGTTGTCAGGTATTGATTACTATGGATGTTTACAAATACGCTTATGAACATCCACGATCATACTGTGTCTACCGTCTCACATGCTCTGCCAATTGAGAGTGCTTGTACTCCCCCAGTTCTACCAACACGTAAAAAGCATCCATGGGAAGAATGAACATCGATCCTGTCCCTTGCTTAAAATTTATGCATCAATCGACTGATTGGTTTTCAGAAATTGTTGTTGGCTCCGAATCACTGTTTTTTTAGCACATACCTTTGTCGTCCTCTTAGAAGTTTAGACAGGTGTCTTCACTTCAATTTCGGGTTGCTTTTCGAATACTCGTTGGACTGCATCGGCTGAACTTAATTCTTCGTCAAAATCGCAATGTTGCGAGGTGGCTACTATCAAATTACAATAATAACACAGTCCAAGAAAAAAAAAAACGAACTTACATTCATGAAGGAGTAATACACCAAGTGATTTGCCCAAGTATTATTTGGATAAGATTCTCCACGATATGCTTGATGTTTTGTAGGACTATTTCCGTTCGTTTTAATATCATATACGATTTCATCGGCTTGCGCTCTAGAAAAGAAATGAGTGCGAAGGAAATGAAGAAGAAGCGAACACCGAAGGACAAGGTAGACAAAAAGGTGAAGTAGATGGACGAACTTGGTGAGAACCATATCAACTTCGAACAAAGCTGTATTGGCTTTATTATTTCTACTGACTTCGACTGTCATCTTTGTACTGTCCTACAAAATCTCAAAATAAGCGCTAGGAAAACAAGAACGCAAAGAACTATTATAAACACATACACTTACATTCAACCTAGTTGCAATATTGTCTTCCCCTTGTTGTTCTTTTGAAAACTCATCTGTTACTTTGTCTTCCATGGTGTGCAATTCTTCAGGAAGCATCTTTGTATCCTGCGCTTTCTCCTCGTAAGAAGAACAGAATGAAAAAGGAAAAAAAAATAAAAAAGTTGAAAATGGTGTTCAATAATTTTTTGTTTTTGTTCTTTTATAAAACATAGATTTGTTTTATAATCTTACATTTTCCAGCAATTGATAGCTTTCTTCTAGCTTTTGTTCAAGTCTCTTTTCACTCGATGATGGAACGGCGTTTGAAGATTCGCCATTGCTTATCTCTGAGCTAATACGAATAGCCAAAAATGCTAAAAGTACAACATTCATTCTGAAAACCATTATGAAAAAGTGGATAAGAAAAAGAGGACATGAATAAAGTGAATACAGTGCACATATTCATTGATTCATCCCTTCTATTTACCATTTGAAACTTGATATTTGAGTTATAGTCGAGCTCTAAGCACACACTTTTCCGAGTGCACGTTCACTCCACATAATTAATCTTTAAATAGGCACCAATCGCTATATCATATTCATAGTCCACTTTTCACGTTTTATTAAATAAATTTTCACTCTCTCAATTCTTTTATTTGCTTTACTCACTGTAAGCAATGTTGATTTAGCCATAATTTCATCGAAGTCTGAAATACGGAGGTGGGTTGAACAGCATACAGCACGGTAAGCTTTTCAGAGTAGCGGCTTTTCACCTGTCGCCCCGTTGCCCGTCGAGTGACTCGAGGACGGTAAATTTCCCAGTTTTCTCTTTCGCATTTAAGAGCAGCCCAGTGGGTTTTGTTTGCTCAAGGGTCTCGTTGAGCATCATACCTTTCTTCTACACTTTTCGTGAAGAACTGTGACCATCGGTTCGGAGGCTTTCTTGCAGTACGCTTGATATCCCAAAGAATCTAGTCACTAACAGCTCTCATCCATCGGTTGTCGTTCATTACGTGTCCGGTCCGGTTTAGTTTAGGACAGTTTGGCGTATCAACGGCATCTTTGACCTTTGATCGTTAACGCAGTTTGGAGCCTCGGATCTTTCTCCTACCTGTATGGTACGGGATGCTCCTTGAATTGTATTTCGACTAGAAAATAACGTTGAATAATCTTTCATCTCACTTGCAACCATGTTTACGACACATGCCCTGAGAGAGGAAGGATCGTGGAGGCGAGAAAGTGGGCACGGGGTCGGGTGTCCTCACCGCATCCTCGATGCTCTTGAAAGCTCCCGAAGTCGCTCGTTTCTTTCTGGTCAACTGTGGGGATAAGTCGTTCAGCATGTTGAATTACCGACAAAGATAGTAACTGTTCAGAGATACCCATTCCATTGAGAGTGGATGTCGCATACTTAAACAATTCGTTTCTCGTAAACATTGTTTTCGTAAGATTTCGTCGAAGAACAATCTTTCCACAAAGTGGGCAATCATTCGTTCCGCCTGCATATGTCACAAAAACGCCTTCATCAGCATAGTAACGATGTCGTAATTGAATGGAGGTTTATCATATGAATGCCGTAGAATTAAAGGATATGAGGTCCCAGTGTTTCTTGATATTTTTTCTCCTGTGGTATTCCATTGTTGAAAGTCTCGGCATGCCTCAGCGCGGTAGGCATTAAGCTACCGTAATCACAGGTCAGGCTGTAGTTGTCATTTACTTTCGCACTTACGTTTGTAAATTGAGGCCTCCATAGGCTATTCAGGGCTCTAAGAAGAATCGATCTGGACAGCAATCTCCGGATGATAGAAAGAAAATCCTCAAGCAGCACCTGAAGCTACATTTTAACTGAAAGACCTCAGTGGATGATGGATGCGAGGACATGAATCAAATACGAAGAATACTAAAGAAGGGATGTGTAAAATGGTGCCGGAGTTCATAGAAAGTCGGTTTGGCTTGACACATTTATAGGTTACGCAAGCGATTTCATAGCAAATACACTTTCAACAAACTCTACGATAACACGCATGGAAGCGAATGCATAACTCCTATAGCGAATTGATCAAGCCGGAACGATTTCTACACTATATGTACAGTAACAAAATATTGTACACAAGCTAGCGAGCGTGAATGATTCATTCATAAGAAAAAGTCACTGCTCATTACAAGCAGAAACCGTACGATTTTGGACACATCTTTCTTCGCATCTTGTCGCTATATATGGATGCCGTACAAAGCTCCAGTTTCAGGAACGGTTTGCGCCTAAAACGATTTTCAAATCAACATAGGTGAACAAAGGAATGCTATTGTTCTAAAACATGTATGAAAGTGTCTCTGCATTTGAAATTCGGATCAGTAGAAGCTGTAATAGGCGCAAACATATAAATGTGATGTAAAAAATCCATTTCAAAAGCTAAGACCGACGTTAATTTAAAAAGAAACTATTACCGATTCTATAATTTATAACGGTACTTTTGTTGCCGACAGCACTGTAGGTCACCACAGGTACGATGTTGTACGTGGAGTTTAGCTTTATTCCTTCACTTGCACGACTATAGAACCTAAGCATTTCTACGCATTGATGATAGGACAAACTAAACTGACTATTTTTCGTCAATAACAAACTTTTACCTGTAGCCTGTTCTACGTGTACCATTCCCGGTTTTGATTTCAACACCGGCTTCACGGCAACCTTCGTCATGTATGGTACTGTCGTAGTTACCAAGTTTTATCTCAATCGTTAAACCGGGGAGTTCCTTAGGAGCAAAATTACTTTAATATTTTCTGGTGCTTCAGATTTTTTAAAGGATTAACACAATCCACAATCCAATAATTGCACATTTTGTAGTCATCATTTTTGTACTTCGTGCCAATCGTGTCTTCAAATATTTGGACCATAGTTCTTGGTAGGAAGGTTTCGCCGCATCCACTTGGATAAAATAAAGGTTTCCTTAGACAGAAGTATCATCGCAAGAGAAGATCAATTGTTCTACTTCATTTCTTACCCTCTCATTGCAATGTTTTTCACTATATCTACTAGGACAGATGCATTTGTAGCAGTTTCTGGGGTGAGGAAATCCACCATTTTGACATTTTTCCTAACGCTTTTTATCGCAGCCATCTACACGGTTAATAAATTTCACAAAACAAAAGATTAAGAAGTGTATGTTGGAGAACTTTGCAGAAATGTATCATTTCTATCCGTATTTTAGATTACATTCTCGTTTGCTCAACAAGAATACGAAGAAACATTCTAGTGAATCCGACTCGAAGCTGTTACAGTGCAAGGGTCCATATTGCAATGAATGGAAGACTGTGCTCATCCGATTGGAATCAATTCGCCCCCGAAGAAGGCGACGGCGCAGTCTTTTTTCATAAAGCCCTCATGAATACAAATCCATAAAATAAAGTGTTAATAGCGAATATATTTTGTTCGTCTTACCTAGGCACTTATAGTGCAGATTCATCATAAGAATATCTTGGAATGAAAGGATATGCAGTCCAAGTGTTTCCAGATAGTTTTTGTCGTTTGGTACCATAGTATTATCACCGTTTCTCGATTGACTGTAGTTTTTATATTCAAGAATTCGTTGTGGTTTCAAAGTCTATTGTTTACGGTTTCTTCAATCCTTACTACGCCATAGTGCATAATATTACCGTAATCGTAGGTGAGGTTATAGTTGTCATTGATTCTATCGCTTACTTCTATGAATTGAGGCAACCAGTCATGCTGTAATACCGTAAATTTTTCTTTGTCGGCTTATCGACTTTACGAAAGATTTACTCTAGTGTTTCTGCGGTTAACTGTGATGTAAGTGCCTCGATCGTGTCTCATTTGAGTATGGAGGAAGCCTAAGGCACGGCCGAGTTCGTGCGTAGCATCTCCAACCTAAAAAGTATCGCAAAAATTCTATGCTGTTTTTTTTATCAATTTAAAATTATGTGCTGATTTCCGTAGTCATACCGCCTTCAAGTGAAAGTCTTTGGACTCCAACTTTACCCACACGTGAAAAGCATCCATTGGAAGTATAAACACAATATAAGGTATAGAAACAGACTTGCGTTTGAGAAAAACGAATAATACACTAGGTGATTTGGCCATATATTATCAGGATATTTTTCGCCACGATAAGCTTGCCGTTTATTACGACTGTCCTGGTTGTGTTTGATATCATCTATGATCTCTTCGGCTTGTTCTCTGAAGCTACGAGACTTCGAAAAAAACGAGGCATAAACACACAACGAAGAAACGAGGCTACTATAGATGGACGAACTTAGTGAGGAACAGTGAGGAACATATTGCCTTGGAACAAAGCTGTATCGACTTTATTTCTCCTATTGATTTGTTCGATTGTCATTGTTGCGTTATTCTATAGAAAATCAACATCACCGCTTAGCGAAATCAAATGCAAAAAATGACATAATTATGTACACTTACGTCCTTTCCATTTAAGAAATTGTCGTTCTCGTTTGGTTTTTTTTAGGAACTACGCCCATTTTGTCCGCCTCGAGATTGTGTAGTTCTTCGAGAAAATTCTTTGTATCATTAGTATTTTTCTCCTAAGGGCATAAGTTTGAAAAAAAACTTAAGAAGACAAAAAAAATATTTCTTAACGATTTCGCGTTTAAAAAAGATCTGTTTTCTCTGACATTTTTCATACGTTTTTCAATAGCTGATAGCTCTCCTCCAGCTTCTCTTCGAAACTCTTTCCGCTGGCTGACGGTATTTCGCTGCCAGCACCGCAGGCACTGGGGAGCCCAAATCGGCATTGAACCCAGTTAAGCTGAGCCTTAGTTATAATCACAATCTTAACCCTTTTATTTACTGCCTTTTTCTTTTTAATTTGTTTTGCAGATTGTTTTGCAAATATCTCAGCATTATATACGAGCTATATTTCGCAACATACCCTGCCATTAAAAAGAAAAAGGCAGTAAATAAAAGGGTTAAGAATAGACATATTTGTTAAGTTTATGGAACGTTTTATGACACAGTACAAACCTTAAATTTTTTCCCTTGAAGCGAAATTTTAAGATGAAGCAGAGACAGAGAGTGCATGCTCTCCACTTGTTTTTATATCTGGAAACATCATCGGGAGTTGTACTATCCACCTACTTTATCTAGGAATAAAAAATCTTTCACACGAACAAATTTTTTGGCCATTATTTTTTGTGCTGAATATTTACCTTAGTTTATAGTTTAAGGTGGATAAAAACTTTTGCGTCGGCGTTTCTTTAGTCCTTTCAAAAATTTAGTAAAAACCGCTTTTAGTGGCCTACAAAATCGTTCATGAAGCCGGCATAGAACGGTATGAAAGCTTTTCAATACTACTGCTTAAAAGCTTTTTTTAGCGAATTTCACTGAAAATGTAGTGCTGAGATAAATGGATACTTGGACGGCACGCTTTCGTGAGTTGTGCGGATCCTAACACATCTTCCATTCATTTCTTTCCCTCGCAATCATTGTCCATGGTGATGGCTTTATTCGAGCATGATGGCGAGTGCGAGTCTCATACCGTGACCTGTAGAACAAATGCAGCTGAATGTATAGACAATTAACTATGGTTACGAACACACCTGTCCAACATCTAGGCGGTAGTCCTTGGAGACGCTTGCACTCTCGTGACGTCCTCTGCACAGTTATTTTCGTACATCTCTCGTCTCTTCCTTTCATTGTGTAACTGACCATCTGTGTTTCGCTATCAATGTGTATTCTCTTGGATCGGATCCCGAAGAAGTGGGAGATTTCGAAGATCACAGTTTCGCATTCCGACTAGATATTGAGAGTGCCGGTCATATTTCAGAAGACATCGCTCAAGCGCTCTATGAGTAGAGCGCAGAATTCTTGACGTCGTTGAAGTACTAACCCATTTCTCTGCTGCATAGCATAGCTTTTGGAGACCCGTTGAATCGAAAAGGTGAGCGTGTATTTTCAGGCCCTAAGTGGGCCGGAGGCTTGCTCAAGAGGCACGAATACTGCCGAAGCAGCTCTCCTTTTACTGTTTAATTCATCCTTAATGTTGTTCTCCATATTCACTAATCACTCAAGGCACACATGGAAATTGATTTCTGTAATCACAGAACCACCTAGGTTGATCTAATAGCCTTCGGACCATGGGCTTTTCATTAACTACGTCTTTTTTCGATTTATTAGTAACGACAAATAACGACAATCAATGGCAACAAAAACCAGCAGCTAATAACAACAGTGCGACCGGAGCAGCAAGCAGCGACCGATTCCAACAGTAATGCACAGCAGGTCTAAGTGCGCACTCCACTTCGAGAAAAAGTTGCGGAAATAGAAGAGAAAAAAGACAGAAACCCCATTATGTGTGTCGAAGGTTCTTTTTGTATTGCAGTAGAAATATGTCCACTTTCAATGATAAGCACGCTGAAAAGTTGTAATTAACATAACCGACATTCATTAAACCTCGGCGTGAGTAATCAAAACGTTTCAGTCACTTGAACGGTGCCCCACTAAAGAAGATTCTACTCGATGTGAAGGCTTTCGTTACAGCTTCTAAGGATGTCGCGGTTTTTTATACTTTCTTAAATGCGTTGATATATAACCACAATGACGCTAAGATATTTTCAACACTCCGGAACGCAGGCGTCTGCCATGGGGAGCGAACCCGCTGTTATCCTTTCCTGGGGTTAGCAAGCCCTCCACCACTCCATGCGAGTTTTTAATTACACCTTTTTCTGAGCTATTTTTCTCCCTAACAGTGCCGTTCCACGGATTTTCCTCATATGAGGGATCGCGAGCCGGTTAGCAGCGAGGCTACGTGGCGTGTCCACAGGAGGCGGACAGGAAGTTAATCGCGGACCAAAAGCGATCTTTGCTTCCTTGAGATGCAGGTGTACTCAGGGGACGGACTCCCGGTTTTTGCCGAGCCGATATCGCACATAGTTTCTATATTTACAGGGCGTATTTATGCATGCGTGTGTGGGTGCGTTCTCGGTTATGCGGATTGTATTCTATGAGTGAATTCGGCCAAAAGCCTCCAGTCATGTGACTAGGAAGTATATGGGAGGGGGTTAGGAGTCTCCTCCAACAAATAAGCTCCATGTCCACTCTGGGAGAGCCTGGTAAGCTACTCATGAGTATACAAAGCTCCCACGTTCAGAGCCCACTAAGCAATATGTGGGCATTAAAATGCTAAATGCAGTAGAAGAAACAGGAGTCATTCCCCAGATCACGAAAGAACCCTCAACTCGGCAGCGTTGGGTAGGGTGAGTGCGGAGAAGCTGCTAAAATCTGAGCGTTATTCTAAGTTTCCAAAATCGCAAATGACTAAGATGACGTTCTCAACCTACAATGCATACACACTTCAATCCAAATCCTCGATAAAAAACTTGCCCATGCAAGCAATAAGGATATGGTGCGACTTCATCGACCTGGCCGTGACGAGAAGACGCCACCAATTCAACGACGTCTATGACACCGTGGAACTGTTGCTCGGAACATGTGACAGTAGAGAAGTCGATGGCATCGGCGTTCTCGTCAACACGAGTTCGCCCGTGAACATCAATTCATTTGAATACCTTACAACAAAAATAGGGCGTTTACTATTAAAAAGATGTGGGTCAATACCGGCTTTGACAATCTTCGTCGTTTGCGCGCCGACATCAAACCATGACGAAGAAGAAGTCGAAGTGTGCGGACTTGGAGAAGTACTACAGAAAAGACCATATAATCTTCAA